TGTCACAACGTTTCTAATTGGGATGCAAAGCTCTGATTTTCAATGTCAACGTTGCGGCGGAACATTTTCTGTTGTCCTATCGTGCCATCTTCCGGGTGAGCAGCGTCGGAGACGCAACTCATGGGGGGTGCGAACGGACTGCGATGCCTTGTCAAGTTCTAAGGTGTCACTATAAGAGCTGTGAGCAAGACCGTGTAAAGTGCAAGAGAAGGGGGCACGCTACGCGTCCCTCGACTCTAAGGGGGCACGCTACGCGTCCCTCGTCTTTACCTTTCTATGTGACCGCCCACGCAACGTTTGGCTCAAGTCAATGCCCATAGCTAAGTGCTATAAGTGTCTTCTATCCTGAGCAATCAGAGCTATCCCGTTGCACAGACGAACCGCCGCCGGCAGTGAGTGCAAAAGGAACGGCCGCCGGTTCTGCCTGCATAGGATTGCACGTGTGGAAGTGTGAGAGAAACAGGGTCCAGTCTGTGGAGAGTGCAAGCCAGCCACACCTACATTCATTACAGCTCTGGTGGGGAGAGCAGCAACATAGTCGAGATCAATTCCCCACGCAGTTAGTAGTTAGTAGTTAGTAGGTAGTAGGTAGTAGGTAGTAGGTAGTAGGTAGTAGGTAGTAGGTGGTAGGTAGTAGGTAGTAGGTAGTAGGTAGTAGTTAGTAGGTAGTAGGTAGTAGGTAGTAGGTAGGTAGTAGGTAGTAGGTAGTAGGTAGTAGGTAGTAGGTAGTAGGTAGTAGGTAGTAGGTAGTATTTAGTAGTTAGTAGTTAGTAGTTAGTAGTTAGTAGTTAGTAGTTAGTAGTATATAGCATTGAGCATTTGGCATTTAGTAGTCTGTAGTTAGTAGTTAGAAGTTAGTAGTCAGTAGTTAGTAGTTAGTAGTTAGTAATTAGTAGTTAGTAGTTCGTAGTCAGTGGTTAGTGGTTAGTAGTTAGTACTTGGTGTTTAGTAGTAAGTAGTTAGTGGTTAGTAGTTAGTAAGTAGTAATTAGTAGTTCGTAGTTAGTGGTTAGTGGTTAGTAGTTAGTACTTAGTGACTTAGTGTTTAGTAGTAAGTAGTTAGTAGTTCGTGGATAGTGGTTACTCAGTATGTAGTAAGTAGTTAGTAGTTAGTTAGTAGTCGTTAGTGGGTAGTCGTTGGTCGTTTGCGTCAGTCGCTAGTAGCTAAGTAGTAGTTAGTAGTAGGAGTAGGAGTAGGAGTAGGAGTAGGAGTAGGAGTAGGAGTAGGAGTAGGAGTAGGAGTAGGAGTAGGAGTAGGAGTAGGAGTAGGAGAAGAAGTAGTAGTAGTAGTAGTAGCAGCAGTAGTAGTAGCAGTAGTAGGAGCAGCAGCAGCAGCAGTAGTAGCACAGGTAGCAGCAAATACTGCTACGGCAAGTACACGACCAGTACCTGCACTAGCACTAGCAGAAATATTGGGACTATTTCTCCCACTACTGCGACGACGACGAGGAGGAGGACGACTAGTACTGTTGCAATAGCGGCACCCGTTGGGGGGCAAGCTGTTTACTGCCTGCCCATGCTGCAGGACTTGTGTGCGTATTCAGGTCTTTCACGAGCAGCATTACTTGCTCGCGTCGAAGTTTTTAGTGTTTATGACAATCATTCTGGTCGCCGGTTGTTTGTTTTTTGTGCTACGTCTTCCTCGATGGTTTGGCTTTCCAATTTTTCGCGAGGGCTATCTTCAACACCACTGTGGTCAGCTCTATGAAGTTGATGTTACAAGGGAACTTGTAGAAGCGACGTTCGATCGGCACACTAAGTATCATGGTGTCAGCATGCTGTATTCATGCTTTATAGCTTTATAGCTCTTCGTGGCTCTGTTGTGTGGCGCTTGTCTGGGCCACGATCGCACATTTTGTGTTCCCTCAGCCTCTGCGGCGCAGGTGGTGCTGGATGGCGATTTATTGAGGTCGGCGTCCGGCTTGAGAGTTTAAGGTCTCAGAGTCGACAGTGCACTTCTGAGGCTAGTCAAGATGGAAGTTCAGTTCAGATTGGGTCTGAGGTTGCGGCACCTTTTTTTTTGGAGTTAGTGTTTTCTGTAAGTTGTGGCGTCTTTGGTTGGGATAGAGGAGCGGTCACATGCAGAAGCTTTTCTGGTGTTGATGGGGCCCATGCGTTACATAGCCGGAGGTTTTCAGATGGTTCTTGGCGTGAGGTTCCACGGGATGTTCAGGAGAGTTAGGGGCTGACGGGGTGGATGTATATATGTGCATCCCTGTTGTTGGACCTAAACCACTGGCCGTGGGTCGTCAAGCGGAAATCTCAGTGTTTGGGTCTGGATGTGCACGGTTGGTCATTCGTATGCGAGGCTCGATGGTGAGGTTCTTGATATCTGTGACGTTTCGGCTTCGTCGCGGGTAGCAGATTCCTTAACCAGAAGGATGCTTGTCGTTGGACCAAAAACCTAGGCCCGACGTGGAAAGCAGTCAAAAACTCCAACATACCGACATCCTTTACCTCAACTACCGGCTCGAACTCGAGCAAAGCATAATCAAGCTGAGCTCAACAACTATCTGGGCCACTTGGAGTAAGCTGTAAAGAGGCCGTCAGCTGCGGGGCCACAGGTGCGCAGACAGCTTTTCTGATGGTTGAGGGCTTTAGTGACTGTCGTGCTCTTTTTGAGTATCTTGCGTTGTATTTCAGCCCAGCTTCAAGGGTTTTGACAAACCCAAGGCCTCACTTTGGAGCTTTAGCTGTAGATCCCTCAGCGTCCCAATTTTCGACACCCTAAAGGGCCTCGAAGCTGAAGGGCAGCGACTAAATCCCGGATATTGAACATCCAGCGATCTAGATTCGGTAGTCAAGCACTTATCCTGCAAGATTCGTCGTGGATTTGTGGAAACGGTCTAAACGGAGTTGACACGATGGCTCTTGGTGGCTGTAGTAGGTTCTTACATGGGTGTCCCTCCCCAACAGAATCGTTTGATGGGTCCTGTAACTATCCTTCAAATGGGGCAACAGGCCATCGCAGTTGCCTAGCCCCCTCGAACCAAACCCTCAAGGCATGAAATGGAGGAGCACAGCGGAGAAAGCACCGAGATCTCCCGAACCCTCAACCCAACACCCTAAAAATGCGCAGAACGAAGGCGACCACCGAAGAAGATACGAAGCCCTGAACCTCTGTACCCCAAACTCGAAAACTTTGCAGGCCTCTTTGCTATAATTTGCAGAGCGGTGACAGGCTCCTATCGGCCTTGGCCATTTTGGGCGCCGAGCTTAGATTTTTTGAGACACTGCCAGGTTCCCTAGACAGAAGTGTTAAGGTTTAGGGCTTAGGGGTTCCAAAGGGTACCGAGGATGTCAGCTTGGAGATCCCAGTTTTGGGTTCGGTCAGCGCATCCTCCCCTACGCCCTGAATACGAGCCAAACGCCCTGAGAACTGCTCCTTCAACCTTCCGCACTCTTAGCCGCCTTAACCGCTTGCACCTTGAGCCTAAAACCCGAAACCACGAACCCAAAGAGCAAGAGGCTTGAGTAGACATCTATGGGTTTGGAGCTTCTGCTCCCTCGACGCTAAAGAATTGCTTCGAAGCTTCCCGATCAACCCCTAAGATTTGCGGCTAAACCTTGCCATCACCCAAGTGAGGCTTCAGACCCAAAGCCTAGCGTAGCACGAATCAATCTCTGAATCTGGAAACGTTATATCGCATGCGCATCCATGCATGCATGCATGGATGCATTGATGGAGAGGTGTGTGTCTGTCCGCCTGCGTGCCTGCCTGTCTGGCTATGCACATGCATATCATGTGCTACCCTCGAGGATGGAGAACTGGGGGTGTGACATGCGCCACGAGCCGAGTGGAGCGGCCGCGGAGTGTCTCGGATGTCGAAAACGAAGTTGGGGTGCAAGACTAAGAGTTCCAAGCGATGCAAGACTTTAGGGTCTGAGGGGCCCGGTCCCCTGAGATCTGAACCCCGAGTCCGCTCTGGGTTCAGGGTGCTCGGGTTCGAGTTCGAAGCTTGGTGGCTGGAGGTTTCAGGTTTAGGTTTTTTTTGATTAGTTTTGTTCAGCTGCCGCGGTTTCCAGATTCGATCATGTTCATCGCAGCGCTGCAAGCTTGTGTTCAGCACAGAAGGTGAATTTCAACCACTCGCGCGGTTTCAAAAACTCGCGTGGCCTCAACGTGGTTGTGGAATATTAGTGGTTTTCGTTTTCCTTCCGCGAGTGTGTTGTCCTGTGTTGTGACCCGGGACCCTAACGGATTTTTGATTAGTTTTTCCAAGGCCACGAACAGGGTCGGGTTCCAGAGCCATCGATGTCAGGTATTGGGAAACTCTGGAGACTCTGGATGAGCAGATGCCTCAGATGGTTCCTTCGTTACTAGACGAATGAATGCTCGTTTGGGACAGAGTCAGGGTTTGGCTCGAGGCTTGGGGTGCAGACCAGACTAGTCTTCAGGATGCAAGTGGGGAACTGAAGTTAGCGTTAGAGATGGGATGTGGGTGCCTCCCATCCCAAGACCAACATACCACATGAGCCCAGCAGACAAGCCCACAGCAAACACAAAGCTGCGAAGCCAACCCAAACTCGCAAGCCCAGCATCCCAATCTACGATTACCGGTTCAGGGTTCGGGTGTAGGACTTCAGGGATCTAGGTTGTAAGGCTCGAGGTCTCAGAGTTTCGGATTGCAGATGCACTACATGTTGAAGTCCTGAAACGACTAACAGTCGGCCGAACCACCCAGAGAACCTTGGCTGCAAAGGCAGCAGCAGCGCAGTCTGCACGGCGCATGAGCTTGAGATATCCTAAAGTCCCAAAGCCTCAGGCCGAAGCCTCTCCGCAAGAACCCATGCCCCACGCTTCTGAATGCCTTCTCGAAGAGCCTTCAGTGAGGAAGCCACCGCAACAGCGCATGGTTGAGCCATCAGCGGCCCAGGGAGGTGCGCTTCGAGGGATTTTGCGTGTAATGCGGGAAGCTTAAAGTTTTGCTATTTTTGCGGCTGGGTCTAGGGGGATTAGGGCCGCCTTGACCAACTGGAACATATTCTCTTCCAGCCTAGATGCTACGTAGCTTGCGCCCAAGCATCGAATCGCGCATCCTACAGAACTGGTCGAAGAAGGGTCAGGCAGGGTCACAGCATTTGTCCAAAGCTTTTGGTTGCGGATGTGGGGCCAGTACAGGAGCCGAAGCCAGTGAGACAGGAACCACAAAGAGTTCAGGCAGAGAGTCGCTCCACCTCGTGCAAGCCCTTTCCGTAGTGGGTGTGACGCCGGAGGGATGAGGTATTCAAACCGCACTACTGCAGCACAGTCCTCAACCCTGAACTCATCTGAACTCCCAATCTTGGCATTCAGGCCGAGCTTTCCGATACCTCTCAACGACCGTTTCCTAAGACTACAAGTCGGCTATAAGACCCTGCACATGTCCGGGACATGTGCCTTTCCAACATTTTTTTGAAAGGCCCCGTCCGGAGCATCAGCGACCTGGAGCCCGTGCGGACGCACTACCCAGGCCCGGTGTAGAGTGCAGGTTGAGAAGATGAGTCTTTGCCTTCGCCCACGACCCCGATGTGAAGCACAGGCAGAAGCCCTTACATTCCGAAAGCCTTTCTTGAATCTGCGAACCCTTTTGACCCAACGTTCTGGGACCAGGTTTGTCTGGGCCTCAACAGGAGATGCCACAAGCGCATGAGGCGCGCGATGCAGTGCCGTAATTTACGGTTTGAGGAGGTCTGGGGCTTTAAAGGTCGGGATCGTGATATCCACGCATGCTTGGACATTTGCCATTGTGCTGAAGTCTTCAATCCTTTTCTCAGCCTAACTTGGGGGTTTTGAGTTTGTGGTTTTCACAGCTCTGAAGCCCAAAGCAGAAGCCCCAATCCGAGAAGCCAAGCTGACCGAAGCCCAGAACCTTGACGACCCAACCAAGCCCTTAAGCCTCAACTGCTTCCTACTCGGAGGCCTTCTGCTGCGCCACGGGGCCCCGCATGGATCCCGATGAGATGCTGGAAAAGCTCTGGCGCCGGTCTCGGCGAGTAGGCTTGGAGATTGAAGGGTTTCGGTACTGGGTTTGGGGTTCCGCAGAGGCCAATACAGTTGGTGTTGGGTGATCGTTGATCACGGTTCGGGCTGTGGGGACTTGGAGTTTGCATTTTGTGCACTCGCTCGAACAGTCTCGAAGAAACCACTTGAAGACTCGACCGGGTTTGGGGCTGGCCGGTGGTTTTGCCTTCAGACCCAGTGTCCTGCCACACTCCAGCGAATAGACGCACTTTGTGTTTTTCGAGGTTTTGCGCACGCAGAGGCACGAAATCGATGGGGCCTCCGGTAGTCTGGACTCCAGGCCCTCGGCCCTTCCGGAATGTAGTGTGTCGCCATGCGTCGCTTGCGTCGCAGCATCCATGCCCGCGGGCTGATAATGTCCATGTTTTGCTGATCATGCAAACAATAATGGCGATGATGATGATTCTGACGATGAGCTGCTGTTCTGCCTCATGCTGCCGCACGTCCCAGTAATCCCTGCGCCCTCGACCCTTGCATTCTTACCCCAAAACTCCAAGCCATGTCAGCTTTCAACAACCTGAAGTTCGTCTCAGAAGCCTACGTTGTGCCCATACCCTGCCTGCACTTTGAGATGTGGCCATTGTCATTGCATCTTCGGCGTGCGGTGAATGTTATTTGGCCATGGCGTGCGCCCCATTCCGCGCCAATGACAGCTATTGCTGATATATCTCAACCTGGCTGGTCCGACATCGCACCCTCTTCAGGTCTTCCGAAAGGCCCGCTCTAAGTGCTCCAGGCCCCCCACCCTTATCCCTTTCCGATTCAGCACTTGAGCCTGCCTTGCTGGATTGGCTTGCTTGGACTTATACCCTTTGTACGAACTTCTGGAGACCGCTGGGTTGAGTCCGTCCTGGCTGGAGCAGTAGCTGCCATACTGCTCGTTCCAGCTTTTGTTCTTGTGCTGGTGCTAGTTGGTTTTACTGCAAGCCTTGTGGCGGCTGGATCCCTGGCTGTGTGCTGCAAAGCGCGTCTCGGATTAGTGGACAGCAGCCGTTTCTCACTAGCACAGTCCGTTGCCGCAAGGGGACTGACAGCTTCATGCACGCCGTGTTCTGTGTTGGCAACATCCTTGATGGGCACTGCTGTGGCGTTGTACCTTATGTACATGCAGCACTGCTCATGTTTCAGTGATATTTGCTGCCATGGTGACTGGACCTCATGAGTTGACACCATGCAAGTACATTGGTGAAAGGCACAGCTCACTTGGGTGAAGCATGCTTCTTCTGGATACTGTTCCCAAGTCCTGTGCTATGCATTTTCTGGTGTCTAGTTCAACAGGGAAACAAGACATCACGCCACGCATCTCCTTGAAATGCACATGGAAGCTTTGGACCGGCAGATGTCAGTATAAGTACCCGTTGTAATTTAGTCAAGCCTGCTCGTCGCATAAACCCTGCAGCCTGCAACTGCAATCACTGAGTCACTGAGCCCACGGGTAATATCGTTGCCTGTCTTCTCGAGGTGGTGTTGGTGGTGCTGCTGCGTCGGCGCGGGCTGCCGGCACTTCCGTGCTGCCCCAGGCGGACAGATTTCTGAAAGTATCCACCTGGCCCGAAGACAGACCCGAACGCAATGGGTCCTGACTAACTCTGGTTTCTGCTGTATGTATGCTGAGGATTCTCAGGCGGATCCCTCTGCTTTCGTTCGTCTTCGAAAGTGATGATAGCGGGCCAGGTGGATCCATACTTAATCTTTGGCCTGCACTCACGAAGCCCCCCTATAGATGCAGTGGACTCAGGCAACATGCACACACCCTCGCTCTCTGCAAGAGATCGAGGTGCTAAAGCCCGTTTACGTTAAGCCACACAGAGGTTGGGTTACGCATACAGGAAGTTGACAGTATGTCAACCGAGCGAAGTATCGATAGTTTTGCGATCCGAGCACGCAGCGGAAATAGCAAGAGGATCCAGAAGAGAGTTGCCTAGATACAGCAGGATCGCTCGATTGCACTGCCGGAAGGTTGAATTCTCGCTGGCTTTTGGTGAAAAACCCTATGAAAGGGCGAGGGTTCATCTAGGGAAAGCGGTTCTGCCAGATACAGCGCCATGCTCCTCCATACTGAAGTTCAGCTCACTAAGAGCCGACCAATGATGTAACGAGTCTCTATTTTGCATGGCCAGGCTTGTGTTGCTGCAGCACGGCATCATGAAATACAACGAGATGATGCCGCCTGATTTCCCCCTGCCTCGAAGTCTGAACGGAACATTGACCTAACGCCCCGAACCCAAGACTCGATACTGGTTGGCCAGGCGTCACCTTCAACTGCCTTTGTTTCAACACGTACTTGAACTCGTGCCGCTGGCAGAGTTATATAAGATCTGTCATGGCTTCAGGTGTGAACGACAGGGTCGATGCGTAGCTCTAGGTTTAGGATTGAGGCTTCAGGTTTCAGCCTCGTTTCTTTCACGTGCACCTGCTTCCAAGCCTCAGGGAGGGCTTATCATGAGGTGTAGTGCAAGGAAAGGCCTAACTCTGCAACCCGGACAGAGCCTCCGAGTTCGTGTGGAACTCCAGCGCCACACTCTTCCTGGACTGAGTTGTACATGTCTTGAGTGGAGTAGTGTTTCTCGAGATCCCTAGCCCTGTGACAAATCAGTATCCGACTGGGGTGCAGCCTGCTTTGTGGGGCCATAGGGCAGGTCCGCCTGGTTTGCCGGTGTCAATCACAGCCCATGATCATGATGACAGAGTCGCAAAGTTTTCTCAGAGCTGCTCCCAAACCTTGCGTGAATCAAGTCCTACGACTTGGAGCCCTCAGACTTTCCGACAGGTTCACTGCATGCCCAGTAGTGCAAGCAAGGAGTGGCATTACTGGCCAAAGCCTGAGCCCAAATTTTTCACACGTCAGGACGCCCTGTCGCGAGAAGGACACTCGCTTCTGCTGCGGCACGGTGGACGAGCGCCTCAGCAGCCAAGCGTGTCGTAAGGCGTAAGGTTTCAGGAATGAAGGTTCTTCTAGGGCTACGTAGGGTTTCGGATTAATGGTGTAGTGTTTCCTACGGTTTAGGATTCTTTGCGGTTGTACTTCCGGTTGAAAAATATAGGGGTTGGGGATCTAGGCCTCTGAAGGCTTCATCGGGCGTGTTCCAGAGCTTCTGGGAAGCTGTTCAGAAAATGGCGAGCGCATCCATCTCCACAAGGCGGGTTTACGGTTGGGTGATGTAGGATTTTCGTGCTTCAGGGCTGCACTATGCTTCATCCAAACCCCTGAGATCCCCTGAGTCTGAAGGTTGAGGATTCTTCCATGAAGCCCTCGACGTAAACTCAATGTCCTGAACCTTCGACTGCGGCTTCAGCTCTCCAACAGCCTTCAACTCTGAAGCTCAAGTCTTGAACTACCCAAATCTAAGCTCTCGAAGCACGGCCTGAAACTCTCGATCCAACTTACAACATGGCCGAAGGTGCTGTTGCTGCGTCTGCTTTTGCAGGGGGCCTGCACAGCAAGGCCGAGATGTCATAGATTTTTGATGCTGCCGGTGCTGCTGCCGGTGCCGGTTCAGTGGTGGTGGTTGGTGAGGGGTTGTGGTGATGGTGATGGTGATGATGATGTTGTCTTGGCATTACTGAATGATGGCTACTACTTACTACTTACTACTTACTACTACTACGACTACCACTACTACTACTGCTGCTGCTGCTACTACTACTACTACTTCCAGTTCTAAATCTACTTCTACTTCTAGTCCTGCTTCTACTTCCACCTCCACTTCTACTTCTACTTCTGTTTCTGCTGCTATACAACTACTGCTACTACGACGACGACGACTACTGCTACTGCTACTACTACTCCTGCTGCGACTGCGACTGCTGCTGCTGCTACTACTATAGATAACTAGCTCAAGGGCTCCCCTCCTTCGATTGGAGAGGCGATCCCCGCTGCATCTGCTGTGGTTGGGACTGTTGTGGTCCCGCCGGCTTGGGCTTCTGGGGATTTCTCGAGGCTTGGGGTGTTTGGTTCCATCCAAATCTCAACGGAGGCGTAAAGCCCTCAGCGAGTTCAATCGCCTTAGCAGCTCCTACCCCGCGACACTGAACGATCCAAATGCCACCAGCAACCCAATATTGCCGCGGTGCGGGGACTGAAATGGCGTTTCAATCCTTGAGTACTGCACTTTATCCCAAGCCCTGGGGCTTTCAACAAATTGGGTTCAAGTTCTGTCTTGTTCTCATTTTGTGTGTGCATTTGGTCATGTTGGTTTCGTGTGATGGACAATCTGACAAGAGTTTAGGTATGGTCGTCTTCGTATGATAAACAAGTGTCGAGGGCCTAGGCAGATGCCTTCCGAAGTGAAACAATCTAAGCCTTTCAGAAGCTGCCAGGTCCAGTCGGCGGCATTCCCCTCCCGGGAGACAGCAAGGTAAAGAAGTCGCAGTCACGCAGGGGCCCCGGAGCCACGACGTGGAGTAAATTGTGAAAGCCGGCTGGGCACTTCACCCCTGAACTCTGCACCCAGATGATAGGCCACCTCAAGGCCCGGGTAGACCGCCAGGGGCAATGGTCGAAGTTTGGCTCAGAGATCAGAGTCTCGAGCATGATCCCAGATGTCACCATCGACGCTCTCCGAAACCTCTGTCCGGACTCCCAGCGCTACCCAGGTCTCCGGACCATCGACAAGAGCCTCATCACGCCTTTCATCCCCTGCTGGTGCTGTCCAGTCCTCGGGTCGGTTGCAGCGAGAGTCTCCGAAAGTAATTCTTATCACCGAGATCGCCAGCTTGGTTTTCGAGCTTTGGATGTAGTTGCAGGTCGGCCGGGCCCTTTTAGGCTCTTCGGAGAAAATGCTGCGAGAGAACTCAATTAGACACTGTTCATGTTGCTTGTGTGGTTTAGCCGAAGCGGCCTGAGCTGTCGAGCAAGCGAGGACGGACGAGCTGTGAACACTGTACCCTCGGCCCCAGACATAAGCCCTCGAACCTGTTTGTGTATGAGCAATTAGATTATCGGCGCACATGTACACACGTGCATACACACATCTACATATATATACACACACATACACGGCATGTATGCATGTATGTATGTATGTATACATGTATATGTATCTGCGTGTGTATGTGTGCGCATATTCATGTCTTGCAGGCACACATCCATTCGTGAGCGGATGCATGGCTGCGGATATGGGGATGCGTAATGGCATTGTGCCACATTTTAGCAACATGCAGTGGTATGTGGTCAATGACAAATGAGACGCGGTAAAATCTCGTCGTACGAAAGATGGCACTACAGATTTCTAGCGAACGCAGTAAGGAATGTTGTATTATATATGTTCTGCACGGCATAGGTAGGCAATGTTGTATGCAATGTATGTATAAAAGGTATGTACTGCATGTAATGCATGTAGTGCATATAAATCATATACTGTATGTAGTGTATGTACTGTATGCAATTTATGTAATGTATGCAATGTCTGTACTGTATGTAATGTATGCAATGCATGTCGCTTTTTGGTATGTTTGGAATTTATATTGTATTGTTATTTTATGTGATGTGTTGTGATGTGATATTCGGTTAGGCTAAGTTAGGTTATGTCTGCGGGCAGGGTGCCTTCATGAGTGCGTGCGAGGGGTAGGTATGGGTCGGTAGGTGGACATTAGGCCGGCAGGCAGGTATACAGGCATGTATGTATGTAGGTAGATAGGTAACTAGCTGGGTAGGTAGGTAGCCAAGTAGGTAGGCAGGTATGCATGCAGGTATGCATGTACGCATGCATGTATGTCTCATGTGAGCTAAGCCAACCAAAGATAGAAAGTAGATAGATGGCTAGATAACTATATACGTATATATATATATATATATATGAATGAACATATATATATATATACACACATAGACATATATATATATATATACATATCCATACATATATAGGCATGTCGGTGTATATTTGCATATATATATATACAGATATACGTACACATTTGTATGACATGAACATACATACAGATGTACACATGCATGTACATATACGCATGCATATATATATATATATATACATATGACGCTTTCTGTATATTTATACATCTATATATATATATATGCATATATATATATATGTATATGTACACACACAGATGTGTATGTAAGCACATACGTATGCATCTTGTGTGTATATACCAATATGGATACGAATATGCACGGGCATATCCGGTTTTTCATGTGTGCATGTACGTACTTACATATACATGCAACATCGTATATGCCTGCATTTCGAAGGTGCGGTGAGGTCAAGTCATTTACCACTGAGGTATACCATTCCATGGTAGATGCACCAAGATAGAATGGCGCACGCGACGGCGCAAGCAACTCTAGACTATCATGTGGTATTGCACACGAATCACGAATGCATGCAAATACATGTTTCGACCCGATATCGTCCCTCCATATGCTCCACTCTCTCAACATCGTACCCTCGGGGCTCGATACCGAGGTTGCGCGGGACTCCGGTTGCGATGGCCTTACAGCTGTGCTGACACCTACTGTCGGTGTTGTTGCTTCGAGTGACCCGGGAGAGGTTTGGGATAGGGACGAGGTTGGAGCGCGACTCAGTCGCCCTTCTTGCAGGTTTCTGGGCCTGGCCTCGCCAGGTACTCCTTCAGCACCGGCTGCCCCGAGCTCGAGTCGGGTCTCTGTCCGGAGCCCGAAGTCCGGTTTTTCTTGGGATTCGGCTTAAGGTTGTACCAGTGTCAGGTTTCGCAGGCTGGAGCAGCTGGCCCCAGAACCACCAGTAGTGCACAGGTTGGAAGAACAGAAGCTCAGCCGACCTCGCCTGCCCAAAAGCCCTCGACAACACCCTGCCAAGGCCTGCACCTGGTAAATTGCTGGTGCTGCTACTCCCTGGGCTCGCCCGGATATGTTGCAACTTCGGGAAGGGTCTTGGAGTCTTAGAGAGTTTCAGGTGAACCGGAGAGGATAGGAGCCCTGCGCGCCCCAGCCCTGACACTGTCGCCAGTTTGAGTTTTGGGTGGTGCCCTAAACATGAAAGACTTCAACTTTCCAGTTTCGCTTCGGATTTAGGGGTGGCTTTCAAGCTTTCTGAAGAATCTCCGTGGTTTAGGCTTCAGGATTTGGGTTTGTGGCTTGGACTTACGGTAAGGTTCAGAGTGAATGAGTCCAGCGCACCCAGCACCTAGCAAAGGCATTTGGTTCCTGATGCATAAAAAGCAGCAGTTTGCTGGAATCTTTTGGGGATTGAATGAATGGAGATCTGAGAGCTTGGAGATGGACATCGACCTGTTCAGTGTTCGGGATTGTGACTGTAACTTAAATCCCGAACTCCAAGTGTTGAAATCTTTCCTAGAGTCTGGGAAGAGTCTGAAACCCTTGCAGCTTTCAACTGGCAAAGCCGTGTAGTCTTCTGACAAGTCTCGAAATCCAGCGGCCCAAGAACATGCAGACTAAATCGCAAGAGGTCTTGAGCATTATGGGTTCATGACATCGGTTGTGTGGCTCAGGGTTTGGGGTTCAGAAGCCGGGTGTTAAATTTTGGATCCAAGGATGAGGGTCGGTGAGAGACTTGCAAAATCCAGGATGAGGTTGCTATGTCTATTTGTGTCTTTTCGGTTTTGTCCTTTTGTCCACCGAGGTCCTTCAAATCCGACCGGAACCCCCCCCCCCCCCCAAAAGTTGGGTTTTATTTTCCGCCTGCTAGCCATTGCCGTAATGCGCAATAGTAGCACTGAACATCAAAACTGGTTTTGAATGAGACCCTGCAGCCCTAAAACGTTGAGGCATGAATGGAATTATCAGAGGCCAAAGCCCGAAGCTTTCGCCCCGCAGTTCAGCGTCTGCCAAGCCTGTGAGCCAGAATTCAGATGAAGGTGACTTTCTCTTCCTTCGGACAGCAGCAAAACACAAAACTAATCCAAAAATTCAGTTCTTGCTCGGAAGTCTTGGGTGCAGTGGCAAATGCCAGGCAAGTGCCCTCCGACCATCCGCCACAACCCGATCTGCGCTTGCTGCGGCTGCAGGGCTGCACGTGACTGGTGGTCACCGCAGCAGAAGGCGCTAGGTACGTAGGCCCTAGGCTTGCGAGGAAGGGTGGAGTCTGGTAGGCCAGAAGAAGGACCCAGAAAGCAAGCTGTCGCAGATTCCTAAAGTTTCTAAAGCCCGATCGCACCGATGCCTCAACCGGCAGCCTGGCTGCCTGGCAAAGACAGAGTTACAGCAAGTTGCAGCATGATTCGTCGTTGTTTCCACTTTCCAACCTTACAGCGTTACTTCTTTTTGGGTTATCTGTTATCTCGCTAGGGAGGCGGGAGCCGCATAGCCGCGGCACTGCAGAGAGTGCTCACAGGGCCGAAGAGCCCCGGCGGCCTTCCTTGGGACTCTCAAGAATCTCAAGAAATGCCCCCCCCCCCCGGGAGTCCAGAGGAAAGCAATCGCATTTACCGTATTCGAGTCCAACAGGTGGCTCTCCGTTCCATTTGGGAGTTTCTCCGAAATGAGTCGGGTCCCTTCTGCGGCTGATAGCTGCACGGGTTCAATGCAAAGCGCCCATGCTCGAGCTGGGGCCCCGATTTTGGAGAAAGGCCCATCTTGCGTGCCTCCGAAGCTCAGTTGGCGCACAGCCTACATGTTCAAGAAGTGAAGGGCAGAGTTCTCTTACACATTTCCTCCCGAATGTTTCCTTTTTTTGGAGGACGTCTAGAGCCCCATGAACAGCTGTATGAGCCCTGAACCCCGAACCTGTTCGTTAGACACACACACACACATCATCAAGACCAATAGTTTCGCTTCGGAAGCAGCAACTTCACAGCCCTGGAACCCCAAAGGGTGGCCAGAGCCCGAGCACGTCATATGAAGAGATAGTACGGCTATGCCCCGCAGGCTGTTGGCTCGGCCCTTTACCTGTTAGCTAACACGTAAACAGCAAAGCTCACCCCGAGAAGCCGAAGCCTTATCGGATTGACACCAGCCATTTCAGCCCCAAGGTCTTGGAAAAGCGTGCGTTGAGCGGTCTACCATGGTCTACCGTAGGGTTTGGGATGTGAGGTTGGGGATTGATTTTCTCCCAAGCGATAGCTATTCGTATGAGCTCCACGTTGCATCTTAGACTTCCTACCTAACAGCTAATGGCATGCCACGTTTCCCAAAGAGCCTCCCAGAGGGAGGCTGCTTGGAGCGGGCGGCGCACCAGCGGAAAGTGCGAAAAGAAGGTGATTCGGCCAGTGGCAGGTTCATGTACGAGCCTCATCTACTCGGATGTCGCTATGATTGAGAAGTTTGCGAACATCCCACAACTCTAAGTGTACTTCGGTGCTTGACTTCGAGAATAGCTCGATGTAGGCCCTTGGGGTGAGAATGTTTCGCACAGATTTCACCAACAAGATTTTGTGTAGGCTTCAGTTGAAGTTGTGATGTGTATTTGCAACGGGTTTCTTTTCCTGTTTGCGTTCAGGATCTCTCCCTCCCTCTCTCTTTCTCTCCGTCTCTGTCTCTCCGAGATCTGTCCGGTCCTAGTCTCTGCCTCTCTTTATCTCTCTCCTCTCAGTGCGATTCGGGTTTGGTGCTGAGTCTGCATGGATTCTATTCCTTAGTTTCGAGATGGGTTTGAGTTGAGAGGCAGCGTTCAGTCCTATGCCCAATCAGCAGCATCTCTTACACCCATCTGCTCGTGTTGATAAACCCTTTTCTGCGCGAGATCCCTGATGTAGCTTCTCGTTGGATGCTCTTCATACAAGGTAGCCGCGTAGCTAGAATGTTGCCTGGGACGGAGCCCTCTGCTCAAGGAGATTAGCTCTGCAACTTCTGTAGCTGCTCGCCTGAAGACGCTGTGGAGCTTGCGCTCAGACCAGGTGACCCTAAATGCGTCGAAACCTAAACAATGAGCCCTAAACCCTGAAACGGAGAAGCCCTAGGACCCGAGCCCTGAGCCCGGAGCCATCCTCGCGCTGCTCCCTCGAACCTGAAGGCTCGCGGGGGCCTGGGGCGGCGAGGGCCCAGAGGGTGTAACCGATGAGGGTTGCAGTGCAGCCTTCCCCGCAGCGTGGTGGCAATGCCGAGAATGGCCAGTGCGACTGTCCCCATGGCTCTGAACTACAAGGCTCCTAGGGTTGGGCGTCGGATTCATGATTTCGAGTGCTGTCGTGTCGGTTACTCGCTTTGGATTTGCGTGGGGTTTTTGTCTGCAGTCCCTGGTTTCGATTTTTATGCTCTTGTGGATTGGAGGCTTGGGGCTTTCCATGAGTTTTCCAGCCCAGACATTCAGGCTCATTGAGACATGATGTGCTGTTTCGCTTCTCGGTGAGTCTTTGCAGCTGGTTGCACCACTTCGTGTTAACCTCTGTGAGTGCTCACGTCGCAGATGCGGCATGTCCAGTCTGTTTTGAAACATCTCGGAGCCCAGGTATTGAACCCGACAGCCTAAACAGACAAGAACCACTTGCGCTGGCTTCGATACCCAGGACGAGGTGGCTTCTATTTCCAGCGATGACGTCGAAGTTCAAGAGGTTGTCGAGCAGCCAGGCGACTGGTCTGCGGCTTCCTTTGGGCGGTGTTCGGAGCCCTGAACTCCGAACCTTACATAGGTCCTAAGTTTGTAGGAGGCCTCAAGCACCAGAACGCCAGTTTACGGTTCAGGGTCTGTTGGATCTTCTTTGGGATCAGTTGCAGAAGCTTTGCCCTGCAAGAGGGACGCAGGGTTTGTAGCCCAGGGCTTTGGAGTCAGTTAAGGCATCCAGAGACGTTAGGGCGTATACAGTTCGCAATTCTTGCAAGAAGCGGAATTCCACTGTTCAGTTCCGAAACCCAGCCTGCAAGGGGAGTCTGCAGGGCTGGGAAAGAGGTGGACTGACGCCTTGCGTATGTCGAGGTAGCCACCTGGGCGCGGATAGGTTCGAGTGCTCCAAGTTAAAGGTTCGAGCTTTGCCGGCAGGAGGATACGTCACTTGGAGCAGGCCGTTACATAACATAGAAATGGAGGCAGACAGAGAGAGGAGGGGGTGGGGGGAGGGGAACCTCTGCCTGGTTTGGGTGGGGCCGAGGCAACTGAAGGCACAACCCGTCACCCTGCCCGGAACCCCAGCTACCGATGAAGGTTTGTGCTTTCGAAGACGACAGAATTGCAAGGGAAGCTGCGATGGCCCCAAACCCAATGTCCCAGCCAAGGCCCTGAAGCCAAACCGAAACCGCGAGACAACGGTCCCAAGCCTTAAACCCGAAACCTGAACCCCAACCGCCCCAACCCCGGAGTGCTGAGTCTTAAATGCGAGGTGGATCGAAGCCTTCGGCCGGTGCTCACTCTGCGGGGGTTTCAAACCGCCGGTTTCTGCAGCTTCGGCCTTTGGGCATCCATGTTTCAGGTTTGAAGGGGCTAGGGTTGGGGGGCCTCCACCACAGATAGAGTTTCGGTCTTCAGGTCGCGGGCTTCCTGGCTTCTTGGGGTTAGTTGGCTAGAAATGCCAGGGAACACAGCACAGCAGAAGTTCTAAATTCAATTTCAATGACCAGTGAAGAAGCCTGAAAACCATGCTGGGGAAGAAGAACACCGACGCTGGCCCCGATTCCGAAGCCCAGGCAGCATGTTTCCTCGGGCAACATTGCCATGGCTTTGAGGAGAGCGACGGCTAAGAGTTCCGGGCGGTTCAGTTTCAGGCGGTTCAGGTACGAGTACGCACTGTTGGGCTCCCTCCCACAACGCCAAGCCCTCAAGCTCTTGACGAGAAGACGGATAACACAAGCATATACTATTCACCCTTAGCCGCCTGCTTCTGGAGGACTCTGGCAGGTGGTCGCGTGGATGTGAACACTCAGGCACTAAGTTGCAGAACGCCCGGATTTTAGGTGGGTTTTTGGAAAGGCTTGGAAAACTGCACATGCGCCCGGTGCATACGGTCAAAGAGCAAATTATCGCAGTCACTAATTGCATGCCCAAAGAATCGGCAATTCTCAACTCGCGTCCAAGTTTGTTCAATTTCTGTGTGGATGGGCCAGGGGTGAATCTGGCAACCTTGAAAAGCCCAAATTTTCATTTCATGTCCTAAGCAAGGCTTCTTGCAACCCGCCAGCCGAACTGCTACAGTACTTGCACACCGGTCAGGGATAAGATTTTGTATCTTTGTCGATCCTGCAGTCTAAGAGTCTAACTAGAAGTGCAAACCAAGCCACAACATGCAAACCTCAAGACGCAAGCTTTCCAAACCGGCCCCTACACCTGAAGCACAGAGATCGCCTCCCAAACTCGAAACCATGCACCCTGAGCCTCAAGCCGTCAAGTGCCCCAAACCCGAAAACCCGAAAACCAGAAACCGGAAATCGGCTAACCTCTAACTTTAAGCGTTAAGCTGCTAGGGAATGAATAGCTTCCAATATCCGGAGGTTCCCAACACCTGTGAAACTGCCCTGCACCTTTGCGCCCGGCTGGGTCTCAAGCTTCCTGCCGTTTGAACTTTTGGGTGTAAGTTTCAGAGGATTTTGGGATTGGATGCTTCGGGTCAGAGGAAGTTGAAGGGGTGATTGGACGGGTTCAGGTTAGTTCGGGCTAGAAGATTTAAGGCCCAGGGCTGCGCGCCCTGGTTTCCCAACCTGCAAGGTTCCCGAGCCCAAACAACCAAGGCATGTGGGCACTGCGATGTTGCTTGGGTCGCACTTCGGGTCTGGGGATGTAACGGTCTTCAGGATCAAAGAGTTATATTATCAGTGCGAGTTCTTGAGGATTCCATGTCCGGAGTCATACGCTGAATTCATGGAAGTAGTTTCTTGAGATGTAGACTGAATTTCAAGGATCCTCGCCAGAAGGTCCAAGCCTACACCCTGAGCTCAAAATCCTCGATTCTAGACACTCGTCCCACCAGGCTCTTGGTCTTGTTGGAGACCCCGGGCGTGGACATTGATCGGAGAGATCTGGAGGGCCGCACGCCACTGCATCTGGCGACTCGGAAACGACATGAAGCTTTTTTGGGGACCTCGAGGGGGTTCAGTGGTTCGGGCTTTGGCTCTGAGTTTAATGTTTGGAGTCAAGTTTGGAGCTGTGACGATTCGTAGTGCAATGTCTTGGTAGGAGGCCCCGTCACGAATCAGACGTATCTTCGAACTATTACTGTAGGATATGGAACTGTTAGCGGGTTTAGTGTAAGCAGAACTCGTTGAGACGTTGGGGCGCACCTCGTCACCTGTGCAGAGGGGGTTCTTCGGATGGGCTTTCCCATGTTCACACATTTAGATTCTGATCGTAATACGGACTACGGCTTATAGGGGCTTGCGGCACTCGGTGCATGCGTTGATGCAGTTTCATACCCTCAACCCTGAACCGCTTGTCTTCGTCTGGGCCTGTCTGAGGCGGTGCGGCACCGGCACGGCGATGCCGCCGAGCTGCTACTGGATGCAGGCAGACGGTGGGTTCAGGCCATGGGGATTTCGCTCACAGAGCGAGTTAAAGGCTCTAGGCCAGAGCACCGAGAAACTATCAACCGACATGTCAAAAACTGAGCACTGCCGATGCATACAAGTGGTTACAAAGTTGATTGTCCTTTCGTAGAACCCCCTTGAATCCCAAATCGCACAACTGCCCAGGTGCCGACCAGACGCTCAAGGACTTCGAAGGCAAGTTGAGGATGGGCTGAGGGTCTTGGGCTTCAGTTCCAGAAGGTGCATTCCCGACATATCCTCTCAGGCCGGGTAGCCCAGCCTGAAACCCTAGAGGTCCATGCCCTTGGCTCGCTGAACGCGATTCCGGGCTGATTGACTGACCTTTGACTGTTCTCCACACCTCGAATCCGAGCTCAAGCCAAAGCCTCCTATCTGTCCTAAACCCTGCGTTTGTGTCACGTATTCCAATCTCTGTCCTATCTGATTTAGGTTAGCACTGTAGTCAGGGCCCGGCGTGATTGGCCCGAAGAGCTCAGTCGCAACAAGATCCTACTTTGCTGCATCGATTGCTAGTGCGTACTAAATACTTCAACTGTCTATCCGGTTCGACTGCAGCGCAGGCCAACTTCTAAAAGCCTGGTTTCATTTTTTGTTCCTGACACCATCGTGGCAATGCCAAAAGCAAGAGCCAGGGAGGGCTGATCGCAAGACCACACAATTTTGAACCGGAAGGCCTTGCGAATCACGTCGCTCAGGATGCCAGTTTCCTAGTGTGTCTAAGACGGATCATACTGTGTAAGTGGTGATCGAATCTCAGACGCAATGCTTCCCCATATCAACTTGTACTGACCTATAATCGGTATGTGCCCCAGGCATCGCAGTCGATGACGATGGTTCACTGACGCGGCTCCTGGAAGACCGCCGCTAAGACTTTTGGGTTCCAGCAGCTCAGGGAGCTTCAGGCTGACCCGGTCGGGATTGCCATTACAAAGGTGTATTTATTCGCAGGGTTCAGCGGCTGACCTTCTGATCGTCAGACCCTCGGTCGAGGACTTGGCAACGGCACGGCGAAAGCAAGAGGAGGAGAGACTTCGACTGGATATCCACAATCCTGAAGAAGCCGAAGGTTCAGGTCCTAGGGTCCTAGTGAATGGGTCCATAACAAAGCTTTGGACTTGGTGGTTCTTCTCGTGGAGGTTCTTGGTCCCTTGATGGTCGTTTCGGGGTGAATGTCAGAGGGCCGACCAGCAGTGCATCCACCCCCGAGTGCATCGGAAAATGCATAACCCCAAGTCGTTACGATGTGATTGAGTGCGCACGTGCACATACGCACGCATGCATACATACATGCATGCAGAAATACAGCCTTCGGCTCTTCCACGAAGGAGTATCGTCAGCGCCTGCGGCAGGAGGAGTTGCAGGACAGCATGTGGTTCGCGAGAGAGGCTCGAGTACCTGCCCTTAACCCGCACCCCCAACATAAACTGCGAAGCAGTGATAAGCACCAAATTCTAAAAGAAAGCTCCTGCTGTGGGTAGAGGGATTCAGGGTAGAAGGTTTCGCTTGCTTCCGCCTTCAGCCTTCGGGGTGGGTTTGACAGTTTAGGGTTGTCAGAGCTCAAGGTTTTGGTAAACACGCTCGCGCAGAAAGCCGAAAATTCCCACCCCCTGAGCGTTGAGGCTTGAACCGCTAGCGCTGTGTAAGATCCATTACCGTCAGGGTTTTGACCTTCAAGTTGTGCGGTTGCACCTTCACGTTTTCGGATTCTAAGCCCGTTTCGCCGCTGCCGGTTGCCGTGAAAACTGGCAAGGCGGACAACAGTGAGATCGGTTCCTTCGCCATGTTTGACGGAGGCCGGCGCCTCAGCCTCTTCGACGAACCGTCGCGTTAACGAAAGCCCGGTTTTCCCAAGACCTCTACTCATGTGACCCGGCGCAAATCTTGAGGCGTGAACCTTGAATCCTCAACTCACGAGTCGTTTGACTTCTGCTACATTCTGCCAGGGCAGCGGAAAAATGAACCTCATACTAGCCAAAGGGACACGCCTGTTTGGCCCACACGAGTGGTGAACAGTGGGCTAGAATACCCCCAAAAGAGGTTTCCGTACTGTAGTCCCCGACGAACTCAGCGAGGTAGGGGGAACCTTTCGTTTGGTTTCCGAAAAGAACCACCGGCGACCCAATCCTAAACCTTCGAATTGCCAGGAAGGCTTGAAGCCTGAACTAATAACCCATTCCAACCCCGAACCGGAGAAACTGAAGCCAGAAAGCCCCACAAGCCACACAACACCGTAGTCTCTTGAACCTTGCTTTTGCCAGGTGTCTCTGACCTGGAGGAGGCCACGGACACCGAGGAGCTCTGATCAAACGTAAGGGCCTCTCGTTAAGTCCGCTTCGCTTCCGCTGTACTCTCTGGATTAATGCCATCGATGGCAATATCTGTCGGCAGTTTGCAGTCCTGGTTGATAGCCGTTGTCTGCCTTATGATTTTTTTCACATCTTTTTGGGTGGGGGTCTTATCATCAAGGCGTTTGTGGCGATTATTACAGCTTGCCTGCTCCAGACAAGGCCTCTGCACTAACAACTTACCTCTCATCTCGTTGTTGCGGAGGACTGGATGGATGCCGTCGCGCGAGAGTACCGAGAACGATGTGTCGCATGGATGCAGCCGGCGGGTTCCGGGATAAGGGTCTTAAGCAGTTTAATTGGACAGCTGCACCTTTTTGAGGCATGGGGTTCAGCGCAACATCAAGCGCACCCGCCTAGAATTTCCAAACTTAAGCACGAATTGTGCGAATGCCCAAAGCTTTCAGGTAAGGCCTTATTGGCGCGAGGGCGCAGTTGCCGCATCCTTGAAGCCGTACCGTTCCCCATAACTGCATATTCTGGATGGTGCAGGGATTGGATTTGCATCAGTGTCACTCAGAAGGAAGTGCCATTGTAGAGGCAGGTGTTGGAGTTGCTGGTTTCGCCATTATAGAGAGACAACCCACGGCCACACCACGTGAGACCCAGGTAGATGTCAGAAAACAAGTTGCATTGAGATGCCCAATGAACCAATGGAAAAGCCACGAAGGCGTGAACTTCAACCTCATCGCCTTAGTAGCCCTATAGCCAAAGCATCGGTCTTGAACCCCAACACCTCTAACTGCGAGTTTTTAGCCGTGAAGCCATAAAGCTCCAAAGCCACTGTTAATCAAGAGGATCAGAAAGATTCAATCCTCCAGTGACAAACGCTCAAATTATTGCTGGTTGTTACCGTTTTTCGTGTCATTTCCGTTTCTGTCAGTGTGTGTGTGTGTGTGTGTGTGTGTGCGTGTGCGTGTGGGACAGTTATGTGGTCTGACTGTTGCAGCATGTCATATCTGGCCCACAATTTGTGCCAAGTGAGCCCAAGTGAGCTGATCTGAGGAAGGCAACCGGCCGGCGCCGCCGGCAAAGGCTTCGGGCTTTGTAGGTCCTTGTGGGTTGGGCTCCGGAGTTTCATCGTTTGAGGCTTCGAGCGACCGCTCACTTACTTATCAACACTAGGTTTTGTCACCGCAGTGTCGCCCAGCTGCTGGATTCGCTCATGAGATGCTGAAATGCCTGTGCAGAATCCTTGTTGCTCAGAAAAAGTCGCAAGACAAAGTTCCGCAAGGCCCACGCTGCTACAGATCCCAAACCGCAGGCTCAAGCCTTCTGTGAACTAACCAACATCCTATCGGTCTTATCGTACCTCAAGAAGACTGCCAACCACAAGTCCCGAGGCCCGGCACTCGACATGCGCAATTCCTTCCAGGGTTTCTTTGCAAGATTCGGCGGATGTGAATCCCGAAACCTACGGCATCTCGACTCGTGTCTTCGAGGAGCAACCGACCCGCAGCCGAAAGGATATCCCAAATCCCTTCGAGCGGCTCTTCCGAGAGCGCGAGGCGCACTTGGGGTTTACCGTGAGCCCATGGCCCGAAACTCCTGACCTGAAGATCGTGGATGATGCTGTGCAGGGTTTGGAGTTTCTGCTTGAAGAGATCCTGACAGTCGGCCATAGGCTGCCGGCCAGAGACACAAGCGGCAGCGGACGAAGCCAAGCACGACGAGCGCCATGGTCTGAATATGTCGCGGCACTGTGTACCAGCTTGTGGGGATTAGCTCTTACAAGGATCGAGGATGTGTAAGCCAGGCTTCCGCAACACCCTGACCACCTCGAATGATCTTCGTCTGGTGCGTCCTCTGCGGCTTGGGTCGCGTAATTTTAACGCCTTTAGCGGCAGGGCGAGGGGGCAGTCGATGTTGTATAGATGCTAGGGGGGCCTCGCAACCCCAGCCATCTTTTTGCTTCAAGAGGAAAACGGGGGCAAGGGGGAGAGGGGGAGGGGAGGGGGGGGGGTAGGGGGGAGGGGTGGGGAGAGGAGAGGGGGGGCTTGGGGGTGGAGGGGCCCTGAGAGGGGAGGCCGACAAATCAAGTAAAATGAAGGGAAGCCGGACAAGGGGGTGGCAAACGAATGCAAAACAGGGTGTCTCCAAACATTTGGACTGCAGGGAGGAGGATTAGGTGGAGGGTACCTGAGGTAACCCCCAAGACGCCTGGGCCTGTGGCCTCGGCGGATTTGCACGGCTTCCGTCCTGTCCTGGGCCATGCACATAGGCACAAAAACGTGCCGAGCTCAAAGCTCGTGCAAGCCTAAAGCTGAAGCAAACCCCTACGCTGCAAGCCAGACCGAACCCATCATGTCGGCAGCGCTGAGTTCATGGCTTTATGTTTCAGAGTTCGCCTTGTTTGTTTGAAGGTGTTCTCCTAAAGGGGGTCAGGGAATTGAGATTCCGGGATGTTGGGTTCGGGGGTTTGCAGTTCGAAGTTTTGGGCTGGCAAAGTCGGAGAAGGAGCAGAAGATTGTGAGACTCGAGCAGGAGGAAAGGGAGGAGGAGGAGTCGACGATTCTCGCGTGCAAACTCTCGCACGAAAATGGGTCCCACAATCACCACCAGACCCTCTTGCTAGCTATTATCGGAAGCGCTTCGCGTCGAGAGCCTCGGCGCGGCCGCAAAGGACCACAGGTTGCTCCACGGTTGTTTCTTCAACCCCATCTTGAAACAGCGGAGGTAGTGGTGTTGGAGCCGGTCAATGCATCCGGAGGAAGGAGTTCAGGGGATCCCGCAGACAGGATAGCGGGTGTGGGTGCCAACAAATTGGAGTCTAGCTCATGAGCCCGAACCTCCATGACTAGCACAAGGTCCGAGGCATTGCTGCGGTGAGAAGGTCTCGGCTGACCGGCGCGCGGCCGATGAGGCTGCGAGGGCACGAAAGAGATGCGAAGCCTCAGCCTTTTATCCTGAAGTACCAGCACTAAATCGATGTTGTAAGATCTGCCGAAAGCACCCATCCCAAGTGAGGCGCGATTTGAGGCCTTCCGCAGAGCTACGGCTTCGATGCCACCAACGCTTTGCGCCTTGTCTGTCGGGTGAGAACTTGCGTTCAGGCTGCTTGCTTTTTTGTGGGCTTGGGGTGGTCCACTCCTCACTTGTCCCTCTGTTTGGGCCTTGCTTCATCCCAGGACTCAGACAACCATCCTTGCAGCCATGCCAATCGAATGCGATGATCTTGTGACGCACACCCAACCGGAACACTTGCATCGGAAGCCGCAAGACCACGAAAACGAAGGAATGAACTGAATCCCGAACTTTGCATCAGAATCCGAGACCCTGAAGGGCGAGCCCAACTTGACAAAGAAAAGTCGAAAACCTTTCAGAAGTGAGCCCAACCCGAAGAAGCCGATAAAGCCGATTAACGCGAATCCTAGCCGAGACTTTGGACCGGAACCGCAAACCCTAAGGAACACCACCCGAAGCCGAAGTCGAAGGAGTGAACTCCCAGGCCTTGCAGTAGAAGCCGACTGGCCGACCCATCCCCGCAACTCCAAACCAGAAGCCAGGCAAAGGTCAGAGGGCAGAAGCGGGGGGTGTGAGGGGCAGAATCTGGGCAGAAGCAAGAGCAGGGTGAGGGTCACAAGCGAGGCCCAAGTCAGGGGAACGGGTTTAGGGCTTCAGGCGGAGCTGTCCTAGGTTAAGATTTGAAGGGCTGTGGGCTGAAAGTGTGATGGCCACGTAGCAGGCTTCCTGACACGCGCAAACAGGCGCATGCATACATACATACATACCTACATACCTACGATATCATACATGCATAACAAAAACATCCCGAACGATGGCTTCTGATGGCTTGTGACCACTTACCTCCACGATGTGGTTTTGGCATGTCACCTTTCTTTTGGTAAGGTCGTGGAGTCCGAAGGTTTTCGTCAAATCGCACGCTCGAGCGCTAACTTTGCGCTAGGACGTAAACGCCAAGAACGTAGAGGCACAAGAACAACGCAACAAACAAACGGAACTTGGAGCCGCTCCCAAAGAATACACAGAACTCCTCCTAAGCACAAAGGAATTGAAAAGCCCCGAGAAAGCATCCAACTAGGCGAAGAGCTGCCGTGGCCCTCGGGGCCGCCTGAGAATCCTGTACACCTTCATCCGAAGATGCCCAAGGACAGGAGCTGAGCCAGCCATGGTCGTTTAAGGGGTCCCCTAAAGGATCTAAAGGGTCTGAAAACAGCCTACGAGGCCTTACTAAGGGTCTCTTCGGGTTTTTGGTTGAAAGGGCTTTGCAGAGTTTTGCACCCTCCAGTTTCCCCAGTGCCCCAGGAGCTCCTGCTGTCGGCTCTGCGCGAGGCACTCCGGCGGTGGCACCCCGACAAGGCTGGCAAATGCATCGAGGGATGTGGGCGTGCCGCGAAACTTGGGGTCCCTTTCCGCTTCTTGTTGACGGGTCATACGATGTGATGTACGATTGCGTATTGATGCAGGGGCCTGGTATGATGTTTGCGACATTGCGGTTCGTTTAAGGTTTGCTTTCATAGGCCTACAGATCGGTGGCTTTTGTCAGGTGGGGTTTAGGGTTCACGGCCAGATCTCATGCTTTGATGACGTGGGGGGCATTTGGCAGGTGCTTGCGCAGCTGGCTAAGGCATTGCCACCACAAGAGAAGGCCAAGGCCGACACGTTTTGCATCTTCCGAGAGGGTTTTGGGTTGGGTTTCCAGCTTTTGCGGGATGGTTTGAAAGCTTCCGCGGTTTCAGGTCAGGTCTTGTGATTTGAAGGCTCAGGTGGAGGGTGTGACGAGCCGGAGGACTAGTTGCTAGATCTTCTTCGGGGTAAACACTCAATCGCCGGAAAACCCAGCCATAGGCGCCCGCCGTTGGTCCACAACCCATAGGCCCCTTATTGGCAACCTTTCTTGAACCTCCCCGAAAATTCCATGATCATCCATACATTGAAAGCCTTTACCAAGCCCCGAAACCCGAACTCCAAAACCTCGAGGCCGGCCAGAGGGCCACGGCTCTGGCACAGCAGCTCACAGCCACGAAGGCGGCCTATGCGGCGTCACCTGGGCTGGAGCTGAGATGTAGGGTTTCTGCCAGGCTGGGAGGTCGCTAGAAAGTTTTTTTGTAATGTGAATCCCTCGAAGAAATCCCTCTGCCCCCAGGCAGTCTTCTGACCGTATTGAGAAACTTTGTTCCAGTGCGGCTTCCACCATGCTGGAACTTGCTTGCAGTCTTTTCTTCCGGCATACCCTGGACCGTGCACTAACCTGGAACCTTCAGTTGCAATAGCCACCAAACGCCAAAGCTGTTGAAGCTGGTGGAAGCACCGCCCCTTGTGACTCGCCATGTCAGCAGCCGTAAACTCACGACCGCGCTTTCCCACAAGACCACCAAATAGGGGACAGTACTGCCACATGCCCTCAAGCCTTAATAGCACTTAATCTGAATCCTCAACCCTGAGCCCTCCAGCCTGAATCTGAGGCCGTGACAATCAGCATGACGTAGCATGGCGACACCTGATCCCAGGCACCTGTGTACAGAAGCAGGAGGCGGCTGAGGTGGAGGCCGGGCCGGAAGACTGCCAGAATTTCGGGAAATCAGTCGTGCTTTTTACCGAACATCGGATCTTCTGCCGCCGGTGCTGCCAGCGGTCTAGCGCAGCTGCTGCAAATTTCCCACGCCTCATGCGGGCCACTTCGTAACCACAATGAAGCCATTGCTGCCGGTGCTGCTAAGCCTGGCCTGCCATGTAGGCAGCTCGTACAAGTTCAAGGGTGACCCCACGAGTGATCAGGAGTGGACCTCTGTGGACATCGCTTCGGAGGGGCCTGACCCGATGAAAGAGTATGGGCCGCATGCAGACTTGTCGATGGCCCTGTCTCTGGCGTTGGTGAACCTTTCGAACTACTCCGGCTTAATCAACTCGCGGGACCTCACAATGCGAACCTCACTCTCACTACTTTGGGGTGGATCCTCATGAAGACCTCTTGATGCTCTATGACAAGGTCCAGGGATTCTTTGAGGTCCTTCACGAGGTCTTGGGTGGGAATGCCTCGCGCTACTGCCAATTCCACGCGGAGATTTACATCCCGGAGTGCATCGAGATTGCCGTGTGCTTGGTCCAGCGTGATGTTCCGAAGTACATGAATATGGAAGCGCACGCTTCCATTCTGGAGCAGGTGACGCGCTTCAATACGATCGTCTGGGAGGCCATCAAGTATGGTCTCGGGTCGGAGGATCCAACCGAGATCGGCGCAGACTTGGACATTCCAAGAGAGTTCGTGTGCGACGAGAATGATCATTCCCACGATCATCCTGCCTCATTGCTCCAGAGCGATGCGTCGCAGACCCTGGTCGTGTCTTCGGCCATGCACCACGCCGCCGGCTCCACACACCAGATCCTTGCGGAGCACACTGCGAATGCCTCGCTGGACAGCACGGTGAATCGACTGCAGGAGGCTTGGCATCCTGTCTGCAACGTGCTGGGCTGCGACCACACCAACTTTCTGGACATCCAGCCGGCATCGCACACTCCGTCGCGCTAATGCATGAATCGTCCACCTCACAGCTGCATGCTCATATCAAGAGCCGCCAGAAGCTTCATGTCGACCTGGCCAGGTTCACGAACAAGCATGGTGCGGCTTTTGCAGACAGGTTCTACAGAAGCGATGCCCGTGCCAGGTCCGAGGAAGCCTTCCGGCACTACGCCCACATCACCCGAGGAGCTGTTTTAAACCATCTGCTCCCCATGCCGGTCATCTTGAAAAACAAGACCAAGGCCCGTCGCTGGGTGGATCGTGTGGAATTCGGGAAGTTCTACGAAAGCTGGAAGAAGCGCAACCCCCAGGGCAACGTCACCGTCTCGAGCCGCGCCGGGGGGCCTAGTGGCTTAGTCAGCCTGACAGAGCCTGATGAGCCGTGCAGAGCCACAACTGGGCAACATCATGCATTTTGTCCGGAACTGCGAACTACCCCTGGAAGTTTGTAATGCTTTCAAGACCATACCTGGGCACGGTCAATGCCCATTGCAACATGACAAGGGAACCTTCATTATTCATCTGGGAATCTGGGATGACCGAAATTGCACTGTTTCCCTGAGGAAAGAGTGCTGAACCAAACTGTTGCATCGGTTGTCGGTAGCAAGCAGGGGCGGATTTGTTGCTGACACGCCATGACTACAGTACCCCGTGCATTAGCTCGAGATCCAGCAGTTTGATGAGTGGCCGCATATACAGCGTTGCAGTAGTCTTTCCTGCAGCTTTCCTTGCATGCGTAGGCCATGCTTGCTGAGCGCCGCCGATGCAGGGCGATGAGACCACACGCTCGTTTTACCGAGGCGGCGCTGTCCTTGATGCAGGAGATCTCAGCCTACGGGTCGACGGAGATCGCGGATGACCAGAAGTTCCTGCAGGATGAGGATGAGGATTTCGAGGACGAGAAAAGGCCTTCTGAATCTTTCGTGGAGTCTCCTCGGCATCTTCCCAGAACCCCTGGGCCCGGGCTGTTCACATCACTTAACTTTAACCCCGCCTTGGGTTGTTCAGCAAGGATGATATGACGAACGAGTTTGTCAGATAACAGACAACAGATGGCAAACCTAAGGTGACACAAGAGATCCCAGGCCAATCTCCTGAGATAAGTTTACTTAAGGCCTCATACCACATAAGGTAAGCCAAGATGACATAAAAGAAGATACCATGTTGCAATCAATTAACACCATACGCAAGCTGAAAACAAGATACCACAACACGATAACGAAGATGCCCCGTACCAGAAACTCTGCTGCCAGCGAGAAGGTCTTGGGCTTAGGGGTTAGGGTTGGTTTGGGGTGCAGGGTTTATGCTCCCGCTTGTGGCATGTTGCATAAACTAGGTGGGATTGAGGCTTCAGGACAGATGATTCAACTCCCGGTGTCGAACATCTAATTACGATTCCAGTGGGTCCTTCCAAGCGAGACAATTAAAGGCTTTACTCTCGACGTTGTAGACTAGGGACTGCAGGGTGGTGTGACTTGAGCGTAGATCTGCGAATGTTGGTGTCAACACCAATTCACTCACTGGTAAGGGGCTTGCTTCTTTCTTGACTGATATGCCCGAACCGGCCAGGACCACAGTAGCAGAGAGCTGCAGCAACGGATATGCAAGGCCACGAGATCCAGTAACGGTTGTATCTCGTATGATCGGACTTTAGAACTGGGCCCGGCTGTCGGACTTGTTCGGAGGCTCTCACAGCGCAGCTTGGGTGGCTGCGGAAGGTGCAGTGATGCTGGGCCTTGGTGCTGGTGGGTTTCATCACCAGCAGCAGGGCTTAGCGTCGCTGCTCCTTGCCTGTTCATCCCAGGCAAGCGGTGTGGGTGCAGCCTGACTCGTTCGACAGCCGTCTTTCAATTTCTCGTCACAACTCCACCCTGCTTGACTGAATCCTGAGCCATTGCAAGCTCCGCTGGTCCTCGACCAAGCCCTCGCCACCGTCCCTCCGCCCCATTGATTCTACATCAATGGAGGTATGAACCCTCGCACAGCTGCTTGAGCCTCGAGTGTGCTGAGTGTGGGACGTTGCATTGCGATCCCTCCTTGCGGGTATTGCCAGCTCTTCGTGGGAAGCTTGACTCGCCAGCATCGCACCATGCCACCCGCCGCGCCCCCCCGTCCTCGGCCCTCAGCCCCGTTGTCTACGAAGCCTGACGCTGCTCAAGCCCACCACTTTCGGAAGGCAAATGCACGCTCTGCCATGTGCCCAGCACATGTGTATGTGTGCACTTGCCTTCTGAAAGTGGTGGACTTGAGCAGTGTCGAGCTTCGTGGACAATGCGGCTGAGGGCTGAGGATGGGGGGGCGCGGCGGGTGGCATGGTGCGATGCTGGCGAGTCAGGCTTCCCACGAAGAGCTGGCAATACCCGCAAGGAGGGATCGCAATGCAACGTCCCACGCTCAGCACACTCGAGGCTTAAGCAGGTGCGTTGGGTGTGTGGGCATGGACTGGTGGGGCTGCAGCGGCTGTGATGGATTTGGAAAGGCAGGGTGTGGGCGGAGGGACGGTGGCGACGACAACTTCGCACTTATGGACATATCAAGGTTACATTTGCTGGAATGATGGAAACTCTTGTGGCCTTGCAGCTTAATCAAGTGCTTTGTCAGTGAATGTGCCCGCTTTACATCGTTGGGCGACGCAGCTCCTGGGCTGCAAGCGCTGCAACGGTGTGAGCAACGAGTGCGCAGTTTTGATTGCGAAAGGATGTCTGCAGGAAGTGAGCGGAGTTTTGGGTCAGGGCTAGGGTAGTTCAGCTAAAATTCTCCGACAGATGCCGTAACAGATGATCGGCTCTCTAAAGCGCCCCATCAGATGCTGTCACAGATTTGTTCCTACGGTGAGGGCTTGCCTTTGTCCGGGGTGGTCTTCGGTGCCTCGGAAGCGCCTTTGATCTTATTGGGCTTGCCTTCGGATGTGGTGTCACCGGCGTTGTGCGGCATACCTTGGAATCGGGCCACTTCTGCCCGTGTGAGGGCTTTGAGGTCGGAAAGTTTGGCTATCCCGTGTCCCTGCATCTATTCTAGGAGTTCGTGTTTGCAAGTCTGCAGCACAGGTTGCCCATTTCAAAGGGTTACCTCAAGGTCACTTGGCAGTACAACTCGAGACACAAGACTTCTGAAGGACAACGACTGCCGGCTCAAGGCACTTAGGGCTGTCGGTTTTTGGTTCCAGTAGCTTAGTCGACAAGACTCCGCATGGTTGGGAGATCTGCTTGCGAATGACCGTTTGCACGGCTGCTTGGGCTCAACTTGTCAGCTTCTACCGTGTTGAAGGAAGTAGGAAACCATCCCAAGACTGCCAGTATGGGTTTACCACCTCCTTGGCATATCGAAGCACATAGCCCAGATCCGGATGAAGCCTTCCCCTCTCCCGCAAGGTTCCTAAACCTTGAATACATCTGACCTGAATTCAAAAGGCCTCATCGCCGGAACCTGAAGAAGTTTTAAACCCGAAGCTCTTGGCCGCACAAGGGCCAGACTATACTCCACACCCCAAGTTCTGAAGCCCGCCGTCCCAGAGCCCCGCCTAGCCCGGTCGGCCAAAGCCATGTGTTCCGCCGAAAATGGCCGGGGAGGCCTCTTGGGAGATCTTGCACTCAATCTCGACCTTTATACATTTGGCTTAGGTCGCCTGTCGCAAAGCTGCCAGGTTCCTCAACCTGTTGAGGGCTCAACTCCAGAAGCTTCGTCCCAAAATCGAAAGCCTCGATTTCGATGGCTTCGGCTCTGGAGTCTAAGGGCTACACGTTCTAGGCCAGAAGCTTTGTAGGCTTCCAGGGTATCTTCATCGTTCGGAGACAGAACCGGCACGGTCTCTCAAAAGGGACAATGATAGGGATGCACCGTACTGGCTTTCGTGGAGCGATTCAGTGGATGTCCTTATTAGCTCTTGGAAAATTTATGGCGAGGGCGTCAGGAAGGAATCTAAGACGTTTCCAGAATGCGTATGTTTTGGAAGACGGGCAAGAAGAGGTTCACAAGGTTCCGGGAATGGTCTTAGCCGGGGAAACGAAGCCTCTCTAATTAAAACCCTCAATCAGTTCGGTATCGGTTTTGGAGTGGGCGACGCCTTCTTTGACCTTAAGCGCCCCAAGCTCCGTCCCTGTGCAGACGATGGCTCAGAAAAGTCGTCCGACGCGCCGTCAGGCCAGAACAAGTTGATCAAGCATACTGCAAGTCTCTCGTCGGAAATGCAACATAGTATAGCTGATGTAAAGCAGGCAAGATCAAGATAGACCTGACTGAGACAAGGTCACATCCGAAGCGGTGTAAGAGTACTACACAGACTGTTGATGCAACATAGTGCAGTGTGGTGAAAGAAAGTGAAACCTAGCACACCATGAATGTGTCTGGGTTCGGGAGGTTTTTGGGGTCTGGAAGGCAAGTTAAATGTTGGCTTGTTTGCTTGGCCTGGTGCCAGCCTGTCCCCGGATTGTCCGGGAGACTATGCCGTACCATACACTCAGCCCCAACACTCCCGAATTCCTTTGCATTCAGACCCCGAACCATGAACGTCCGAGAGCCTCAAACCTGTCAGTTCGGTAGAACCTGGGCCATGCGCATCCACATGATGAGTGAATCAACCCAGCAATCCGAGCATTTGGCTGCCCGATGCCCTGTGCTCCCCAGCAAGTCTAATGCTGAATCCCAACACCTGCGATGCGGACCTTGACTTGCAAACCCTGCAACCAGAATGCCCTTACATGGTCACCCAAACCCCTCTATACAAGTCCCGGTGACCTTTTGTATGCCACAGTTCCTGTGAGCTTGCATGACACGCGCACCCGTTTTCACATGACATGGCATGACATGACATCACATCATAACACAGCGCATCACAGCACGGAACGTTACCAGCAAAGCACGGCACAGCACGTCAGACCACCTGCACCCATACATGCACATTAGCTATATAGATTTCACAATTTTCTATTTATATCGTTCTATATCTACATCAACAGCTATACCTGTATCTTCACCTGTATCTATATATATATATATATATAAACACATCT